CCAGATACAAATTCTTCTTTATTTCATAAGGCTGGTATCAAGTGACCCTATGTAACTTTGTAAAAAAGTCTTTTGATGGGTATGCTAATGTTTATTGAAGCGTTGACTAAAGGATAACTGAAACTGCCTTTGTGTTCAAAAAATCTGTTGTTGCCATTAATCCATCATAGCAACGCTAGTTTATTATCTAATATGGTTTACACATTGGCTTTATGCACGTTATTAACTAACCTTAAGAGTGGCCCATTTTCAATATTCATTCAGCCTCTATCAAAAACGTCTTCAAAGACTCATCCGTCAAAACCTTCTGCAACGGGAATGATCGTAGATTTCCGCTTGTTGACGTTATGATGCGTTCCCATACACAGCCTCGTTGATTAGCTCTCGCAGTGTTAATGTACCATTCATAACTTCCTTCTAAAAAAACATTTGCTATAATGTTCTGACCCGAACTACACACAATCTTTCTAAGACTGGAGTCAGCTCCTTTGAAGTTCGAACCACCGTTCCTAAACACATGTTTCAGGTGACCCATCCTACCAACGAATCTCAAGAGAGCGCATAAAACGAGTCAGTATCCAAGGTGTGAGCCATTTTGGAACAAACTTCTACAATAAACAGGCAAGTGAATAAACAACTGTATCGTTTTTCAACGACTCGCCTCTTCTTAACGTAAAATGGTCCAAGATAGTCTGTGCCAACATAATTGGATGGTGGTACGAAGCCTTCAAGGAGACATTCAAGTAGTGGAGCCATAATCTGTGTCGGCGTACTGTTGAGTCACTCGCATAAGAAGCACCGTTTTAGGACTTTTGGTAGCAGCTTGAGCCTAGTTCTCATTTTCTTACCAGCAGACATTACATGGAGTGTCATGTCCTTATTCGAAACAAGTGCACCTACTCTCCTCGGTTTTTCTTGCGATTCACATGGTTTGCCGTGCTTGCCTTAGTGTCTCCATCTCTATGGGAAATGAGATCATTTGAATCAATTTAATTATATTCTGCTTCGCGCTATCAATTTCTTCCAGTCTCAATCAATCAAGAATTAACCGTCTTCTATCTAACCTCATACTCATACTGTGGACGAAGCGTTCGGTCCGTGAAATCACTCATTTAGCTTAATGATACTATCTAACGGCAATCCACAGAATTCTGTTTACTTTTAACACATATACATGGGATCGCTGTAGACGTTTCGCGAATCGTTGCTAAGCTATTACTTACGACTCTCTCAAAACTTTTGGTTGTGTTTCCTATACAATGAAGTGCGGTTAATGACTCTGTCCAATAAGTGATAGAAGAGATAGGAATACGCAATTGTTGTTCCATGAGTTTTTCAATCTTAGCACATAGTACAGCAGCTGTTAATTCCATTCTAGGAGTGATTATAGGTTTAAGTGGGGCAACCCTGGACTAAGCTAGTAGAATGGAGCAATTAACTTGACGGGAGAGGAGCATACGCCACAACACCATACGCAAATTTCGAGGCATCGGCAAAGCACTGAATTTGAGTAGCTAGTGGTTTGTAAGATTCTGGTACGAGACATCTGGACAGTAACAGTTTACTTAGGAGCCTCGTACTTCTGAGCCGACAGTCCAATCTCATAAAGCACTCCCTAGGAATCTTTGCGTTCCACGCCAAATTTTTCGGACGAGTATCCTGCATAAGTAAATTAGCTAGTAAAACACCTAGTGCTATAAACCCAACTGGGTCGAATATCGAGACTACATGCGATAAAATAGTTCTCGTCGTAGGGGTCGTTTCGAATTCGTGCACTTCGAAGCAGGTCTTATACGTTCGAACATCCCACTCTTTTCGTAGAGTCATCCCGTTTCTTTCCAAATATAAACAGATGTCTACAGTCCTTTCTATGCAGTCTTCCTCTGGAACAAACTTCACTGATCCAACATTGTTGCTGGTTCATTTGGTTAGATTTAAACCCCTTAAACGTAACATCTCCTTCAGTTGAGAATATGTTAATTTAGCTTCTTCTAACGTATCAATACTGATCAATAAATCGTGGACACAGAACTGTTCCTTTGATGTCTGTATAATACATTCAGGAAACCTGTCCGCAATAGCCAGGATAGTTCTTTGTAGAGCCAACGTTGCGCAACTTGATGAGGAGTTCGCACCAAACAAATTCCCTTCTATCTAGGGGCATCACGATCCTGTAACGGAACAAACAATTGGTGGAACATTTCTTCAATATCTGCCGTGAGACCTATATGCCTTTGCTGAAATCTGGTGAAGACATATACCAGACTGTTGACCAAATCTAGACCAGAATACAAGATTTTATTCTGGGACGTCCCGGTCTATTATGCTGCACAGTCGAATACGATTCTTAGCTTACTAGGTTTTTTCGGATGGAAGACATTGTGGTACGTTAAATACCAAAGCCGACAACTAATCGAGTTCTGCGTAGTTTTTTGAGAGTAGCCCCGTTCACCATGTTCTACCATCACATTAACATAATCCTTATGCAATCTCTGGTCATAGATGATCCGGTTCTTCAGGGAATTTAATATACTCATCGCCAGTTTTCGATTATTAAGTACCTGTGTTGGTGACGTCAGGGCAAATCTATTTGGAAATCTTCGTTTACTAACTGTATGGATTTGGACATAGCATCCAGGGCTTTACGATCATCAACCGACATGAGCACACGGTGATTCGGGTCGTCTTCAAAGTCCATCCTATATAACTGCTCTAGTCTAGCTTCTAGTTCAACTTTAGACGATAGGTAATTTAAGATACTTTAAGATATTTTTCGTGGTCTCATGGTAAGGTACAAACAGTCTTTGTAGCGTACAGTTCGATCATTTTCCCACTCTCTATTCTTTCGTCCCATGGCCTCACGTACATGCACTCTATCAATACGTTGACAACCCTTGAGAGGGTCACACTGTGCAAGTGAGATCACGATGCCATCTGAGATGTCGTCGGTACTGTCCTACGCAATATAGGTAACCTCTCTAATATCCATACCTTTGGAATTCTGGATGATGAAGAATAATTTAAGGAGGAAGCTTCTGGTTGAACCTCTTTGCAATGAAATGTGAACTGGCTATCCAGCGTTTTCAATAAAGCCGTCTCGGACCCTCCTTCTGAACCCAGCCTTCTAGCTAGATATTCTATAATGAACGAAGCGTCTAAGCCGCTATCTAGTAAAGCGCATGTCTGTACCACCCTTTTTTTTATTTTTTACCATTACAGGCACTATTGCAAATGCCACTTGTCTCCATACACGCTTAACACTTCCCTCCCTATTGAGTCGGGTATTAATGTGGCCATTACTATTACAGTCTTTCTGCTCTTCCCACTTCATGTGTAAAAAGGTATGGTGTCTCCTTCGACAGTATATGACCTCGGTGCTTGACAGTTTCTTGGTATGTGGTTCGCCTTCAGATAGACATTACAAAACTCCGTTAGCACAAACTCTATAATATCATTAATATCCTTATCTCTAAACCATTCATATTGGTCTAAAGGGTGGTTTTCAGTACATAATAAAAATGACAACTTAAGAGTGCTTGGTCTTACGTGTGGTGTGACATCAGACCCGCACGTGTTAGCGAACGACACTCCCGCCGTATACCTTGAATCAAGGTTCCTTTTAGTAACAACAGCCGACTGCCTTTGGTTGCTATTAGAGGGATCTCCACCGACAAGTAATCAGTACTTGGTTTTAGCAATACCCGACTGCTCTCCCACAAATTCACAAAGGTCATTAGATAGAGGCTCTCTCTCTCTTCTGGTTCGAGCAATGTACAATAGTAGCATTAGCTTTACAATCACAATACTAAACCAAATAGTTTAGCATAGTTCTACTTCAAACACTCATCGAGATTCCGTATGAAACTCCAGTAGTTCATGAGATTACCATCAAACCTCTCACTTTGGTAGGTCTAAAGATTTAGATATCATTGTTATCCAGTCCTTTCCAGGAGGGACATCAACTGCAGGTAAGGAAGATGTAGATTCGTACATCACCTTGTCAGCCACAAAATATCTATGGTGTTCTCTTCCCTTGTGACGTAATCTTTCCAACCCAATTTCTCTTTGTCTGAGTTAAGCGTACTCTAATTTTAACTCTAATAAGGGATCCATTCGATAGTCGTTTTCTTCAAACTGGTCATCAGTATGAGTTTCTGAATAGTGGGGAGACAACTCAGTTTTATGATTGTCCGTAGACATTAATAACACTTAACGTATGAATTTCTGATGAGTTACTGGTCAAAGTATCGTAGGATTTGATTTAACCTACAGATACACTACTAGAACTGTGAACGCAATACTGGCGACCTCAGAGTCTATGTGGAAGGTATAGTCAGAACAAGGACAACTTGGCTTCAAACTTTATCTGTTTCTAAATGTGGAAATAACAATTTGATTAGTACAATAATTAAAGTAATTATAGTCATTATTTGGAACGCACAAACATACCGACCAGTATCACCTGTTTTATCGAAATGAATAGAAATTACGAGTCACACTAATATAATAGGATAATAATCCCCTTCAATTGGCAAGTTACATGCAACAGGGATAGTCTACAAATATATCAGATCAAATCGACGTGGTGGGCGCTTAAACAACGATTTGATTGATTAGTTATGAACATAACTAACAATAATGTATGAACAGATTGTTCGGAATTCATTGCATAAAAGTATCACATTTGATAACCTTCATCTTACCATAGAATTATCTACATCTATCAAAGAGACTGATTGTTTTAAATACATTTTATATTAATTTGAACCAAATAACAATATAGATTAACTCTAAACATGTGTGAGAAATAGAATAAAAAAATGAAATAACTTTTTTATCATTAAAATAAGCTGTTTAAGCTACGGTTTCTTTTAAGATATGTAAATATACAAAAAATAATTATGTATGAAGTCAGCGATAAAAATGAGGAATATATATATATATATATATATATATATATATATATATATATATATATATATATATATATGAGAATTAGATTAGGCCATCAAGAGATATATCATACCCATAATTAGCAGTAAAATTGTAATAGGCATCACAAATACAAGGTAAGATAACAAAGGTATAGGAACAATGATAGAGAAAAACTGTTGACTGTTTATATTTCTGACATTATTGCATTTTGGACAACTTAGTATAGGATGTTTAATTTCAGTAATATATATAGAATCATCATTAGTGTTATCAGTTTTTGTTGATGGGAGACTAAAAAGTAAAGAAATAATGAAAGTCTGAGATAGATAGAACAGGAGTTAATCTAGTTATAAACGCTAAATGATTGAACATAAATGTGAAGTGATATTACAATGAGAAAACGGTTCGAATTGAGGTCCACTTTCACCGAGGTTGAATCAGTCAAACACAATGTGTCCGCTATTAGACGACAAGCACAAACCAAAGTGTAGTAAGTGAAATCTTGGATGTTTATTGGATCACATCAAGAACAATATGGATTTTGCATACACACTATAACATGTAATCGGTTTAATTAGCCTACCTTCTATAAGGATGCATAACAGAAGTGAATACTACTGAACACATGTTGGTAAATTTATGGTATCAAGCAATCACAGATATACAGTTATTTTTACTCATCATCGGACAAGACTTGATAGTCAGATCTTCATTCCACCGATATTTAAGTGATCTGTGAAGTATGTATCTCCCAGTCGTTTGGGTTTTAATGATTTTTCATTTTTTGTTTAATATTTCATACATAAGTGTGAAATTTTACGGAAGAAAAACCTACTTCCCTGGTTAGCGACAATGATTCTGATGTCAAATCATAATGGGGGAAACAGAAAAATACAACCAGAAAGAATTCTTTCAGTTAAAGTTACGGTTACTTTTTCTGAAGAAAGTAAAAGAAGGTTACAGCAGTATCGCTACCGGCTCCTATTCTGAGCCGTATCTGATAACGTCTCTAGCCACCCTGTCGCACCATCTCTAGGAGTCGTGAAGGACCAACACAAGCCAGCCCTTTGAAGCTGTCTTTCATACCACGACAAAATGTCATACACTGACCACCTCACCGCTTCTTCTAACCAGTCCCAGAGTCGGCAATTAATGCACGATGTGGAATTCTCTGGGACGACATTCCTAGAACATGTTCAAGCCAACAAAGTCGGTGTTTCAAGATGGTGACATCAATTGCATTATCATCTCTGTGCCCGAACACACGATGCCGAACCTCTGCATTACTAACATGGTGTTGCCACTGGATGTCAGCAATCCTTCGGAGACAACGATGATCAAACACAGAGAGTCGTCTAACATCCTCAAATCGGAGAGGCCAGGTTTCACAAGCATAGAGCAGAACTGCTATCACTGACGCGTTGTAGATCCGACCTTTTACAGCCAGACTTACATCACGAAGGTGCCAAAGATGGCCCAGATTAGCATAAGCCGCTCTGGCTTTCACTATTCGTGCATTGATCTCATCACTCACGCCACAACCAGCACTTATGCAGCTACTCAGATACACGAACTTCTCGACTACTTCTATCTGCTCACCATCCAGGGTGAGTACAGGATTAGAATCCTGCCAGTCCTGTTAGAAATACTTTGCACTTCGAAGGTGCAAAGCGCATACCGTACCTACGGACAATGATTGCCAACTGATTAAGTGCGCATTGCATGCCTTGGGCATTATCGCGCAGTAAGACAATATCATACGCATACTCAAGGTCGAGGAGTCTTTCTCCAGGCAACAGATCCACACCGCCATTACTAACGTCCATCAGAGCTGTTTCCAGAATGTCATCGATGGCAAAGTTGAAGAGGAATGGTGAGATTGGGCAACCCTGTCTAACCCCACTGCCTGAATGGAACAATGGAGAGAGGTGGTTGTATGCCCTCACTCTGCCTGAGGTGTTTTTATACAGGGCTTTTAGGATGTTAATAAACTTCTCAGGCACACTCTTCTTCAATAGACAATCCCAGAGAACAGTCCTGTCCAACGAATCGAAGGGAGACCTAATGTCAAGAAACACTACGATTGTTGGCCTTTGAGAAGTATGACGGTGTTCTAACATTTGGCGGAGGGTGAAGATATGATCAATACATCCTCGACCAGAACGAAAACCAGCCTGCTCCTCGCGAGTCAATCTTTCTTGGGTTTTGAACAACCTACGAAGTATGACAGAAGCCAATAGCTTGGACGCAATCGGAGGTAGACTTATCCCCCGATAGTTGTTACAGGAACGACGTGAACCCTTTTTAAAGATAGGGACAACTATCGACTCACTCCATGACGTTGGTACACTCTCTAGTTCCCACACCTTTGTGAACAACGTCGTCAGTTCCTTAGTCGGAAAGTCACCACCATCTTTAAAAAAAACCGGAGGTCAGTCATTTGGGCTCAGCGATTTGTAGCGCTTCAAGAGTTGGAGTTCCTTGAGGACTTCCTCCTCATTTGGTGGGTCGGTCGCCACCGGCCATGGAGAGCAGGACAGTTTGACCGATGTTGCCGGAGCAGCAGGCCAGTTGAACTGCCCTTCGAAAAATTCTGCCCATCGTCCAAGACGTCGATGGATGTTAGTGATTGGAATTCCATCATCCTCGCAGATTGTTTCACTCACACCAGACTTCTTGCTGCCAGTGACTCGGATGAGTTGGAAGAGCTTCCGGTAGTTACCAGATGCAGGTGCTGCTTCCAGTTCATTAGCACGCTCCGACCACCAGGCTTCTCGGTCCTTACGCAAGATTTGCCCGATTTCCTTACGTAACATCCTTCGTTTATGGTCAAGCTCACGGTCACCCGGAGTAGACCGACGGGCTTCGATGAGTTGTAAGGAACCTGCAGAAACCCAGTGCTTATAAGCGGGACGTTTCGCGAACCCACAACTGACTGCACCCACCATTTTTATGGCGTCATGAAGTTGTAACTAATGCTCATCTATACTTTTCGGTGAAATAGTAGCTAGCCTAGCAGCTAGCTCGGTTCGGTAATTACTTGCAACAGAAGTTGCAACCACCTTGCTAATATCAATCCGTTGGTGGCGGTTATTCGTTGGACACTGAAAATTAAGGTAAGATTGGCGCAGACCAAGGCATGGTCAGAGTCCAGATAGGTACTCCAAAAGGAGCGGCAGTCTTGTACACAACCACGCCAGCGGTAGCTGATCGCGATGTGACCAATCTGAGTCCAGGCTTGAGATGCAGAGTGAGGACGCCAGGTGGCACATCGGCGATGACTGTGTTGAAAGTTAGTGCTAGCTAGAGACAGGTTGTGGTCTATGCACAGTTGCAGTAGACGGTCCCCGTTATCTGACCTGCGACCAACGAGTCCCCATCGGCCACCTAAACGACTCTCTTCTGTGCCTAGACGCCCGACCTGAGCATTCAAGTCTCTGGCTAGTACTACAATATCTGTCGAACGCACTTTCCGGAGAAGAACAGATAACTGGTGGTAAAACTCATCCTTGATTGCATCCGGGCTGCAATCTGTCGGGGCATAGGCGGAGATGACGAAAAGACATCGTTTCTCATGCCGATTTCTTCTCACTTTGATGGAACTTTCTAATCTAACAGCACATAACCGACTGTTAATGGGGATCCAGTCGAGTAGTGCTGCCTCAGCTCTAGCGCTTAGTGTGACACCAACGCCAGCAACACCAGACGAAGATGCCACAGGGTCCCCGGATAAACCCACGTAAAAGAAGCTTTTCGAAGCGACAGATGGAGAGCGAATTTGTAGTACTTCACCAGAGTCTTGAATACGGGTCTCGGATAGACAACAAACATCAATATTAAGACTTTCCAAAGACATAGCCAGCCCTATCTGTTGTCCGACCTGCATAAATGTGCGAACGTTGAACGCAGCCAGTTTGAATGGCGCACGTGGTTTCAGAAAAACTGCTTCAGTACTCACATTCAGTGGTAACATACAATTTTCAACCGGACAGTGACTCGAAAACGTTTAGATACAGTCGAATTTCCACCAAAGACGAGCCGCTGTATAAGTATAAAAGAGGGTGAATAATGTGGTAAATAATAATAATAATAATAATAATAATAATAATAATAATAATAATAATAATTTGAATCATTTGATTGTTATTCGAAGCGAGAAAAGTAGTTTCCATAGATATAGAGAGTTCATCATTTGCGTGTGGGCTGTGATACTGCCCGGGTGCCCACACCGAAGCAGGTGGTTTTCTTAGGGGGCCACACCCCGAGCCTTTGACCTAAAGGTCCAACCCACAAGGCAATGGAGCATCATAAGGAGATGCAGTTCCATGGTAGCCGGTGACCAACAATTGGTTCATACGCCATTTGTTCCCGCAGGACACTGGAGCCCATGTGCACTTATGGTTTGGGATCCGGTTAAAGCTCCGGACATTCGCTTTTCGTCCTCTCATTTTCGTAAACAACACCCCCGCCACGAGAAGGCAATGAGTAGGACTTCCCTGGCAGAGGCTGTATACGCGTGGCCGTATGAGAGCATTTCGAGAGGGAGAGCGGACTCTCCCCACTCTCGGCCGTACTAGGGCATTTACTTACTTACGCCTGTTACTCCTCGTGAAGGAGCATAGGGCGCTCACCAGCATTCTCCATCCAACCCTGTCCTGGGCAATCCTTTCCTACTCCTTCCAGTTGTAATTCATCCTTTTCATATCTGCTTCTATTATCTGACGTAATGTGTTCTTTGGCCTTCCTCTTTTCCGCTTCCCTTCAGGATTCCAAGTTAGGGCTTGCCTCGTGATGCAGTTTGATGATTTGCGTAATGTATGTCCTATCCATTTCCATCGTCTTTTCCTAATTTCTTGTTCAGCTGGAAGTTGGTTTGTTCTCTCCCACAGAAGGCTATTGCTGATGGTATCCGGCCAATGGATGTTGAGTATCTTGCGTAGACAGTTATTTATAAATACTTGTACTTTCTTGATTGTGGTTGTTGTAGTTCTCCAAGTTTCAGCTCCATACAGTAGAACTGCCTTGACGTTCGTATTGAAGATTGTGACTTTGATATTGGTTGAGAGTTGTTTTGAGTTCAATATGTTCTTCAATTGTAGGAATGCGGCCCTTGCTTTACCAATCCTCGCCTTTACGTCTGCATCTGAACCTCCTTGTCCATCGACGATGCTTCCTAGGTATGTGAAGGATTCTACATCTTCCAGAGTTTCGCCATCAAGAGTGATTGGATTGCTGTTCTCCGCTTTGAATTTGAGGACCTTAGTTTTCCCTTTGTGTATGCTGAGGCCTACTGATGCAGAGACTGCTGCTACACTGGCTATCTTTATCTGCATCTGTTCGTGTGTACGCGATAGGAGGGCTAGGTCATCTGCGAAGTCCAAATCGTCTAATTGATTCTGAGCTGTCCATTGTATTCCGTGTTTTCCCTCAGATGTCGAGGTCTTCATAATCCAGTCGACCACCAGAAGAAAGAGGAAGGGAGAGAGTAAACAGCCTTGTCTGACCCCGGTCCTTACTTGGAATGCATCTGTCAGCTGTCATCCATGCACGACCTTGCATTGTAGTCCGTCGTATGAGTTCCAGATAATATTGACAATCTTCTCAGGAACTCCGTAGTGTCGAAGAAGTTTCCATAATGTCCTCCCATCTACACTATCGAATGCCTTTTCATAATCAATGAAGTTGATGTATAGTGATGAGTTCCACTCAACTGATTGTTCGACGATGGTCCGTAGTGTTGCAATTTGGCCTGTGCACGACCGATCCTTACGGAATCCAGCTTGTTGATCTCGAAGTTGGGCCTCTACTGCATCCTTCGTCCGGTTCATCAAAACTCTGTTAAAGACTTTCCCTGGCATTGACAGTAGTGTAATGCCTCCGTAGTTTTCACATTTGCTCGAATCTCCTTTCTTTGGAATCTTGACGAGGTGTCCTTCTTTCCAGTCCATCAGCACTTGTTCCTCCTCCCAAATCTTTCTGAATAGAAGATAAAGCATGCTTGTGGTTACTTCGACGTCTGACTTCAGTGCTTCAGCTGGTATGTTGTGGGATCCTGCTGCTTTCCCGTTCTTGATTTGTCTGACGGCCATTCTGATTTCTCCCGTCGTTGGTGGATTGACATCTATAGGAAGAACTGTGTGTGCTGCTTCGATGTCCGGTGGATTCATTGGAGCTGGCCTATTCAGGAGTTCCTCGAAGTACTCTACCCATCTGTTCCACTGTTGTTGAATTTCATTGATTGGCCTGCCTTCTTTGTCTTTGACCGGTCTCTCTGGTTTACTGTATTTCCCTGCTAGTTTCTTCGTTGCATCGTAAAGTTGTTTCATATTTCCTTCTCTTGCAGCTTTTTCGGCCATCGTTGCTAGTTCTTCCACGTATTTCTTCTTGTCTGCTCTGATGCTCTTCTTCACTTGCTTGTTTGTTTCTATGTATTTAGCTTGTGCTTGAACTTTCTCTGCTCGTGTTCGGCTGTTGTTAATTGCTGCCTTCTTGTTCTTCCTTTCTTTGATCTTGTCCAGTGTTTCTGTAGAGATCCATTCCTTATGATGGTGTTTTTTTAGGCCCAGAACCTCTTGACACGTTGAAGTTAATGCTTCTTTGATGCCTTTCCAGTTGTCCTCCATAGTAGTTTCTTCTTCCTTCAGTAGATCATGTAAGGCTTGGAACCTGTTGTTGAGAGCTATCTTGAATTCATTGAGTTTGTCAGTATCTCGAAGGAAGGCTGTATTGAACCTTTGTAGTGCTGTTTGTCCACTTGTCCAGTTTTTCTTTAGCTTCAGTTTTAAATTGGCTACAACTAGGTGGTGATCTGAAGCTACGTCAGCTCCTCTCCTGGTTCTCACATCTTCCATTGTCCTTCGGAATTTTTTGTTGATGCAAACATGGTCTATTTGGTTATCTGTAGTGTGGTCCGGTGAGATCCATGTAGCCTTGTGTATACGTTTGTGTGGAAATATTGTGCCTCCTATGACCAATTTGTTGAATGCACACAAATTTGAAAATCGTTCTCCATTTTCGTTTCTTTCTCCCAGTCCATGTCGTCCCATAATATCTTCATATCCGGTGTTGTCTATCCCGACTTTGGTATTTAGATCTCCCATTAGAATGGTGAGGTCCTTTCTTGGGCATTTCTCTATGATTGATTGCAGCCGCTCGTAGAATTGATCTTCAATGTCGTCGTTGCTATCATTGGTGGGTGCATAACACTGGATAATATTCATTGTGATCCCCTCCTTCTTTGTTTTGAATGATGCTTTGATGATTCTGGATCCGTGAGATTCCCATCCTACAAGTGCATTTCGTGCTACTTTGGACAGCACTAGAGCGACTCCCTGAGTGTGTGGAGCATTGTCCTCTTCGTGACCGGACTATAGCAGCATCTCTCTCGTAGCTAGCCTTTTCTGTCCAGCATGGGTTCAATGGGTTTCGCTGATTCCCAGTACTGCTAAGTTGTATCTCCTCATTTCCATTGATATTTGACTGGTCTTCCCGGTTTCCCACATTGTTCGAACGTTCCATGTACCTATAAAAATTTTTGCTCTGGTTGTTAGAAGGGGCATCGGCCTCGTGGCTTCCGAAGGAACTCGGCTTTCACCATGAAGCGTCATAATTCTTCTAAATGAAGACCTTCTAACTCTCAGGGCAGAGTTAAAATGGTTTGAATTATTTTTTCTGGTAAGCGTTTTTTTAGCGAGTTAGTTTTCTACGGGATGGGGACGCTAACCCCATGCCCAACCCTCCTCCTTTACCCGGGCTTGGGACCGGCAGTAACTCTAGAAGAGCTAGAAAAACAGGGAACCATAAGAAGCTTGAATTGTTGGTGTATTTATAAAAGTGGCTGGACATAATCAAAAAGGAATTATGTTGTGAATGTTTGACTGAAACTTAAATGGTACAAGGCATGATTCTCAATTATTAGAAAGGATGACAATCTCAAATCTAATACTAGTGATTCGCACTTATCATCACGTTAATAACGACATAATTATAACTGAATACTACTAAACAGCATTACAGCGAACAGATATTTGTGAATTATTTATGTTAAATGATGGGAGGCAGTTGCAGGAAAATTTGGACCTGGGTTTTATATCGGCACTTGTTAGCTAGGAGTAACTGAAATATTGATGGAATCGATACTTTTAATTGAATTCAAACACGTGTCACTTAATTCGCCAGTCTGATACATTACCATTAAGGTGTTCGGGGCACGGTTGACTTAGTGTAGAACAGATATTTACGAATGATTGATCATTGAATAATGACTTATGCTGTGTTTGTCTAGTCAGTTCGTGCCGATAGGACTCTATTGGTGAAGTTTCATTGTGTCCACTAGTTTAAATGAATCGACATCATATGTCTTGTGTTGAGATGTTAAATGGTTGAAAATAATCGATAAATTTTATTACCGAACATAACATGTACTCAGAACTCATTTAACAAATGAATACATAAATAAAACATACTGATATCGTAGATGAATAGGTAAATCTAAATAACTAATTGATTGATTTATCCCCAGTTGATTAATATTAAATTTGAATGTTAATGGTTTAGCAAGCCATTCTGGAGCTTCAATATCAACCAAATTATTCTGAATAATTAATTGTTTACTTTCATCGGAATGATCGGTATTTTTCTTTTCCAACTTAGAATATGTAAACCAATTTACAAATTGTTTAATGGTATCATGTAATTTTGGTTGTATTTCTGACTGACTAATTGAAAATTTTAAGTTCGGTTGACTGGAAGTTAATTCATATGGATCAATGAAAAAACCTGGAAATGAGTTAGAAAATATCAGTTACTTTATTTTAAACAGTGAATAAAAAGGAATATAATACAATGAAACTGGGAAGCGAATGACCTAAAAGCAGAGAAAAGTTGTCCATTTTGGTGGAGTTTTGTTCTCTGAGTTGGGTGATTTGGTCGTGGAGCTTTCATCGTTCTTTTGAACGACATCATCAGCACAAACTTCAGGTAGAAGTGAAGTATTCAAATCTGTTCACATGTGGTTCACAGCTTGTCCTGTACACCTCGATGTTGATCGGTTCTTGTTCACCTTAAACCTATCATTGGGAGATACAACCAAAATAAAAAAAAGTGAACAATGACAGGTTAAAGGTCAACAAGGACCAATCAACATTGAGGTGTACAGGACAAGCTGTGGACCACATGTGAACAAATTTGAATACTTCACTTCTACCTGAAGTTTGTGCTGAAGATGTCGTTCAGAAGTACGATGAAAGCTCCACGACCAAACCATCCATCTCAGAGAACAAAACTCCATCAAATTCATCCATCTGAGCTACAAATCTTTTCCACCATCTCAAAGTCGTCCGATTTCCTAGTATAAATCTTTTAGATAACTGGCCTCCCATTAATAGAACAAGATTACAATCGGATAGATCTACAATAGACAGTTCTTATTCGCATATTTATTATTTAAACATATGAACATTGGTACGAGGCATCAAATCAGTATGCGCCACATAATTCATTCGATTTGGTATACTGCCCGGGTGCTCAAACCGAATCAGGTGGTTTTCTCAGGAGACCACATCCGGAGCCTTCGACCTAAAGGTCTGATCCATAAGGCAGTAAAACAACGTCAGGAGATGCAGTCCCATGGTATCCGGTGACCAACGATTGGTCTATACGCAATCTAACACTGATTTTAATTGAGTTACTCATTTATTCTATTGTCGATTATTGTACGAAGAGTAACAATTTGAAAATTCCCTACACTTTTTATTTGAAAAATAACATTATTGATAAGAGTATATAACATAAAATACAAAATTATAAAATACCTGATGGTAAATGTACATGAAGTTGACAATGCTCCAGTAAACTAATTGAAAAATCATGGAAATCACAATGCAATCGAAGATGAAAACCGCGTTGAGTTATATTACAACTAAAATAAGGTTGTATAGTATTAACCGAATTATTCAATGTAATGGTAGTAGCATTAGCAGTAGTAGTAGTAGTAGTAATATCAGCGTAGGCAAATGACAGAATTGAAATTATACACAGTATTAACATTTGAATAACCATTGTCTAATTCAAATAAATTACAAATGAAAAATAAAGGTATATAAATATATAATATCCTGAAAGTTACTTTAGATTACACGTCAGTTTACAAGACTGACAGCGGCTTAATCAAATTTGCTACGTAATAATAGTAAAAATAAAAATTACTATTTACTGACTGAATAAGTATGAATTACAAACAAATCCCTACAGGACAATTTTATATTATTGAATATTCAACAATAAGTGTGATGAGAGGTGTAAAAGTCTGGGTTAAGTAGTTGGTTTTACAAATATATATTAGAGGTGAAGCATCATAAATTCAGTATATTGTAATCACAGATTCCTCTATGTAGCACATACTTCAAGTCATATTTACTATACAGTGAGCTTATGATACCGTTGGTATTGGGTAATATGATGGATGTTTTGACTTTGCTTGGACATGTTACTTATTTCACCACAGAGTTTAAAAAGGACTTTTAATATCTCCCCCAGAAAACAGCTATATAACCACAATAACGACACTATGTAATAGATATAGCTGTGTATACATATTTCCCATTGTAATGATGTCTTCGTAGGAAAAGTGACGAGTAGGATCATCGATAAACATTTATTTTAAAGCGTTAATGTGAATGCCAACCTTAAAATAACAACTTTGATATAAATGTAAAGTACTTGAATGTTTATTGACTCATAGGTTTCTATTTAACTGCATGAGCTTCCATCATCCATAAGATGACGTATTAGCTTAAGGTTCAACTAAAAATTTGACGTTTCACACCACAGACTGACTTTGATGAGTGTATTATTCAAAACCAGGAAATAATAGACAAAGACCTTCATCCTAGTATGGGATTTACTGGCAGTGAAAATCCACGACCACACCGATATTGAATATTAACTAGAATTAGAAATGTAAGTTGTCCGAAGTCAACTTTGTGAAATAAAATCGAAGAGCTCACAGGGATATCGGAATGTTCAGAGTCCGATTCCTGGGGGGTTATAAATATGCACTGATGAGAGTCACATGCTAGAATGAAACAGCTGTTGAGTTCCTCCTAGCTTTCAACGGTTGTCAAACTAAAACTGGTTCCCAATGCAAACCATGAAATTCAACAGTCAAGTATTATTCATCGAATTTAGTGAGATTTTTATGCACTTATCGTTTACTATGATGCACATAGTTATCAAAGTATCCCAATGGTGAAAAAATAGTTTTAAATTCGAATGGTTTCATTTAGGATTTTAATTTGTTAAAAAATGAACAACTAACTGATTTAACATTAATAGATTGTAAAATAACGACAATAAGCATGTTGGCTTCTGAGATCACATACTTTCAGAATGATTGCATGTTTTTGGACAACTTTATAAATCCATCCGGATGTTAATTAAGAAACTAATTTAAATAGAAAGGAATTCGAATTAGATAATAGCTAACTTAATAAATATCTATGTAAAACAAGGTTAGGATTAGTATTACCAACATTAATAATCCATAACATGATATCAGTTTATTTACGACACATTTACATGCTAAGTTCTGAGTAACCCCGGTTAAAGGTAACTCTGAGAAGAGTCGCCATTTAAGCAACCCATATGAGCTTAAGAAAATTAAAACCTAAATATCTAGATATCAAATAGTGTAAGTGGTTTATCAATTACAGATTTATTTACTCGGGTTCGAGGTATACTTTTTGTATGGAGGTTAGTAACACTAACTGCGAAAGCTGATTGAATAACGTAGAGTGGGACTTTAGATAAGCAGTCATGTCGTTTGAAAGTCATTGGAAGCTCTAACCGTTAAATCATTGCTTCAGACAACGGGATATAGAATACACAAATGGGCAGTACTGAAATAATACATGCGATAGTAATATTCTGAAAAGAAAATAACTAATTATTATAGGAACGACATCCTGTCATTATTTATAACCAATAATGCTCCAGACATGTTAACAAAAGTGGTTGTTATTATATCCGAGTTCTCCGAGAGAGAAATATTACACTGGATCTCTAAACAATCCATATCAGGCGGGTAATGGTTCTTTCACATGGGACTTTTAACCTACACCAACTGGAGTGACTAAAATACGAATTACACAAACTGCCGCTCTCTAAACATGTGAAATAAACTGGTTTCGGAACAACTCAGTAGATGATCAAAAATAAATAAGAACATCTATCCAAATTAGAATGAATGGTTTTACAGTAGTTTCGCGCTGAATACTTAGAAAACTGAAACTGAGATTTAGCACGGCGATCTTGAGGGAGACGATCAAAATTATCGAATATGAATAGTGTTACAAAATAACCGTTTACTAAACAACTGTCTAATCATGTTAAAATATTGAATACGAATTTTTAAAGCATTAATATATAAATCATTTGGTGTGTAAATGTGTTCAAATTGTAGTCAGTGAAGAAGTTTCGATATATCACATTAAGTGAAATAATATTTAATGAAACATCAATCAAGATGACATCACATCCAATCAGTAGTTGTAGTCTGATGTGGATCTGGAAACTTTGAAATGAGTAACATGGGAATACACTGAAAATTGATGTTTAGTAATGAAAGTGATCTGCACATAGACAACTGAGCCGATTAGAGATTATATTGCGCTAGTGCGATATGTGAATTTAAAGATTTGTATACATAAGAGTTCATCAAAACTTACTAAATGGAAGACTAACCAATAACAAAGTGATCCAACCTAAGAACACGTCCAGCATTTTTACAATCATAATTTATTTGAACACAACACATTTTAAGTGTTAGGAGTAAACTAAGCATTGAAATGGTGAGGTGGATTTTACTTTGAAGCAGTGACTTCGACTGAACAAAGGTTTAAGCAATCTAGTAGTCGTTCCCTTTAAAATATCTTCTATATTCTAGCAAGTTTATCAAGAAGACAATGTTAAGAAAGCATGCATATCAGTTCTGACTAAAAAAAAGAGCTACTTAATTTTTTTAAAAATCAGTTAAGTTAGATGTTAGGAGTTCAGGAATCGACATCTAAATAATGTTTATTCTTTTTAATTCATATCGCCGGTGTGAGGATAGCCCATGAGTGAACTCTAGGAAGCTCCAAGGAGCTCAGAAAGAGCTGAAGATATTCCAACCAATCATCTTTTGGAGGGACATTCCAGAATCTCGACGTGTAGCTTCCCTATTGGACAAATGCTAATAACCCCCTGTATACGGATTGGGGGACTATAATGACGATTTCGTTATTACCGGAAACTATAAATACCTGAGTTTTGTACCATAATTGACACTGATTGGAATGGCATTCCTTTCACTTATCTTCTGTCTTCTCATTTGCAACCTGCGGGGTTCTAGAGTTCGAGTGCCCATTTTGTACGTGGTATAATAAGAAACTAAGTTTTAGATATGACAACTAGCGACGGGGTTAACTTATCAAGATGTCATTTACCTTTGACTAATTCGAAGCCATGCTAGAGCGTCAAGAAAAACGTTTCGAACAGTTCTAAATTCGTATTCTAGAAGCTCTAACTCAGCAAATGAACCTAAATCAAAAGGGGTTTACAGATGGTTCGTTCAAATCCCATGTCGACCATATCGTTAATTCTATCCACGAGTTTCATTTTGATGGTTTGGCTGGCGTTAATTTGAATCGTGGTTCAAGAAATACAAAGATGTATCCAAGGTCGACCTAGAAAAACTTGATGATACCGCAAAGGTCAGAGTACTGCTACTTCACCCTAAGAATTCCAGAGACCTTTCATTTGATACAACAGTTGTAACTTTGTCGCAAATCTTTGGTGAACGGTTATCTTTGTTCAGTATTTGTTACCAATGACTTAATTTGGCGAAAGCTGGAGACAATGACTGGGTGCAACAAGCTGGCATAGTAAATCGTGAGTGTGAGCCTTTCAGGTTATCATCAATGACAGAAAACCAGTTTAAATGTCTTTTTTTTCGTATGCAGCTTGCAGTCACCTGAAGATGCCAACATCAGGACTAGAATTCCGAGTAAAATTGAACAGTGTTCAAATATAACGCTACAAGAAGTGACTAGTGAATGTCAGAGGTTGGTGAACTTAAAACATGACACTTTTATGGTTGAAAACAGTGTCGCTAATTGCATTTTTTTGTAACTTATAAAGCGAAATGTAAACATTTCATAAACACGCCTGAATAGGTTATGCGATTGATTGACATAATGATGTGTTAAAACAAAAACAGATAACTTGTTAAAATATCTAGATGGCAGGAATAGGTAGGTCGTCAATGTCTAGATCCATTTCCGATGATTATGTTACTTATGCCCGTGGAGAAGATTTGTAGCTCAGGTGGATGATTTTGATGGAGTTTTGTTCTCTGAGATGGATGGTTTGGTCGTGGAGCTTTCATCGTACTTCTGAACGACATCTTCAGCACAAACTTCAGGTAGAAGTGAAGTATTCAAATTTGCTCACATGTGGTTCACAGCTCGTTCTGAACACCTCGATGTTGATTGGTCCTTGTTGACCTTTAACCTGTCATTGTTTACTTTTTTGTTTTGGTTGTATCTCCCAATGACAGGTTCGAGGTGAAAAAGAACCAATCAACACCGAGGTGTACAGGACAAGCTGTGGACCACATGTGAACAAATTTGAATACTTCACTTCTACCTGAAGTTTGTGCTGATGATGTCGTTCAGAAGAACGATGAAAGCTTCATCAAAAACTTATACCCGTGAATTCAACCGAGATTGTGACTTGTAAAGATTATCTAATGCCTTTCGTAATAACTGTTTTATTCCTGAGGTGTTTGAATCTACAAATTAGACCAATTTCTAAAACACCTTTTCAACTACATTTATAAATTTATTATCTTGAATACATTATTTGGTTAGGGTAGATGATTTGTGATATACAAAATTGAAGTTTAATCAAACAATTCGCTTAATGTATATATCAAAGCGATTGAGTTTATGAATCATGATTAGTTCAATTAAATTTACAAGTCCATATACAGTAAGATTCAACTGCATATTTAGTCTACT